ATGAACAAAAAAATCAAAGTCTTAACAATCTAACATTATAAAGTAAATTAAAAACGGAATTATGTAATTAAGTAATGAGGATGTGGAAGATCAGGAACAACACTTACATCAAATAATTTTTGGAGGAAACTGAATGGTGCATAACCTCTCGGCGTGCAAGAATTGACCGTTTTTTTGAAATGCTATCGAGGGCTGACAATTGAGCGCTATTTTCTCTCTCATGTGTACTGATTTTAAGTTAAAGAAGATAAACTTTCTAACAATTGAGCATGAAAATTTTATCTCTCATATGTAGTGCTTCTAAGTACACCACATGCATTAGCTTGCTAACAATTGAGCGGGGGTATTTTCTCTCTCATATGTAGTGTTTTTAGGTATTAGATGTGTAGTGATTTTAGGTTAAAGAAGATAAACTTTCTAACAATTGAGCATGAGAATTTTATCTCTTATATGTAGTGCTTCTAGGTACCACCACATTAGCTTGCTAACAATTGAGCGGGAGAATTTTCTCTCTCATATGTAGTGCTTTTAGGTATTACATCAGTTAGAAGATAAGCCGGCTAACAATTGAGCGTTATTTTTTCTCTCGTGTGTAGTGATTTTAGGTTAAAGAAGATAAACTTACCAACAATTGAGCGGGAAAATTTTGTCTCTCATATGTAGTGCTTCTAGGTATTACCACATAAGCTTGCTAACAATTGAGCGGGATAATTTTCTCTCTCATATGTAGTGTTTTTAAGTATTAGAAGATTAGAAATAAGTTTACTAACAATTGATCGGGATAATTTTTTCTCTCAAACGTAGTTCTTTTAAGTATCAATATAAGATAAGTCGGCTCACAATTGAACAAGATAAGTTCCTCTCTCATATGTACTGTGTTTAAGTATATGAAAATAAGAAGATAACATTCCTAACAATTGAGAGAAATAACTTTATCTCTCATATTTTTTCTTTTTAGTATGATCATCTGACTAACAATTGAGTGGAAAGTTTTCTCTCCGATATGCAGTGCTTTTAGGTATATAAGAAGATAATATGGCTAAAAATTGAGCGGGTGAGTTTCTTCTCTCATAAGTAGACCTTACTTATGAGCGGAAGATTTTCTTCTAATACAATGTATAAGAAGATAATATGGCTAAAAATTGAGCGGAAGAGTTTCTTCTAATACAACGTATAAGATAAGCCAGTTGGCTAACAATTGAGTGGGCGAATTATGTCTCATATACATACTTAGCTCTTTTACTTATAAGATAAAACATCATCTAACAATTTAGCAAGGTAATTTTTTCTTTCATATGTTAGCACTAATTTAACCAATGAGTAACAAATCACTATTTAAGTAATATCATTAATTTTAATATTTATTGTATTCACTTCATGTCACTAACTTATTGTAACCATTTTTTTAGAGTAGTATTAATTTTAATACGTAGTATTTATTATAATCATGAAAATTATTAAGTAGCAAATTCTAATGAGTGGTGTCTGTTAACTTTCCTTAATATACTCTTCATCGAAAATGTAGAAATATAAAATGTTTTTTTTTTAGTTTTAATATTTAATTAAATCATAAATAAAATATATGCATCGACTGCTTCTTCCCGTGCGTATGCACGGGTACTAATTCAGTGGTACATGTGCCTTTTAAGACATTTTTATCCGATTTTTACAAAAAATATATCAAAATTCATAAACTTTTGTGATCTTTCATATGAGGTCAATATTGAATATATAAAAATATAATTTATTAACGGTCTCTATAATTATGCTTAAAATTATTTATAGACTTTTTTAGATCTATTTTGCTCTCTGAATTGGGGAAGTTATTGTAAGTGATCATTTTTAGCTACATTTGATATACTCCCTCTGTCCCTAAATGTTGTTCCAATTGCGGATTACGAAGGTTGACCGACGATAAAGTTAAATGTTCCCTGTGAAAACTCGGATTATTTTTAGTAAAAAAAATTTACATATTCAGAAACTACATTAAACCCGCTACAAAGCCTGCAAAAAATAATTCAACTTTTATAAAATTTTGATATAAAAAGTAAGAGTTTAAGAGTGATTTAAGTTGACCATCGATAAGCGAAATGAAACTTCTTTTAGGGACAGAGAGAGTAATGTTTTTCTTTAAAGTGTTAAAACTGTTTCATTTTTAATCCAATTTCTACAAAAAAATAAATCAAAACTCATAATTTTTTGTGATCTTACATATGAGATCAATTTTGAATATATCAAAATATAATTTATTAACAATCTCTATAATTATGCTTAAAATTCAGATAATGTTTTTCTTTATTTAATTAATAAAAGTAATTTAAATTAAATGTATCCATACACCAGAAGATTCAACTAATTCAACCTCTTCTCTCAGAATTTCATCCATTTCAACAGTTTCAACTAATTTCAGTACTTCTAAACGGTCTTTAAAATTAAAATCAGACCATGGAAGGAAAAATATAAAAATATTAAAATTTATTTAAGAAAACTTTCTTAAAGTATTTTATAATTTGATGTGCACTGGTTTGATATATAAAAAATCCGCAAATGAAAATCTAATTAGTTCTAATAATAAAATTTAAGTTGGTCTATTTTTTTCTGTTTTGAGTTGGTCTAAATGGAAGACAATAAATGATTTGAATTCTTCAACACTACGATTAATAAAACTCTAATGTTATTTTCATTTTTCTATTATACTCCCTTCATTAAACTATAAAACTATTACAAACCATATTTCTTCCTGTTATAATGTCACTCGAGAATATATAAAATTAGCAAATTGAAATGATAAACACATCGAGTGCTAATAAAACAAAACTTCTAAATTTATTTCAATTTATTATTCTTTATGTTTAAGGAAAAAGGGGCAAATATGAAAATATATATTCATCATTTTTGGTTTTTTAAGTGCTTTGATCTATTTAAGTTTAATTTTATAAAAAAAAATTGACTTATTTGGCTGAAATTACTGTACATAATAATTTTTAACCACTTTTCCTATAATCTTTTATTTACTTCATTAATAATATATAATTTGAACTAAATTCATCCATAAATCAAAAGAATCAATTTCAATCAATTCAGTCACTTCTGTCAAAATTTCATCAATTTCAAGGAATCAGGTGAATAGTAAATGCAACACTGAGTGAGGTTACAACTTTAAGGATGCGGGATAGTTTTCTCTCTTATATATAATGTTTTTAGGTATAAGATAAGTTGGATGAGAACTGAGCGGAATAAGTTTCTCTCTCATTTGTAGTGTTTTTAAGTATAAGATCGATAAGTCGACTAACAATTGAGTGGCCAAAATTTCTCTATCATATGTAATGTTTTTAGGTATAAGATAAGTTGGCTAACACTTGAGCAGGATAACTTTGTCTCTCATTTGTAGTGCTTTTCAGTAAGATAGTAATATAAGTCAACTAACAATCGAGCGGAAAAATTTGTTCTTTCATATGTGGCGCTTTTAGGTATAAATCGTCTTAACAATTGAACAAGATATTTCTCTCTCTCTCAACAAGCAGTTATTTTAACTATAACATAATCCAACTAACAATTGAGAGAGGATTTTTTGTATCATATATAGTGCTTTTGGGTATAAGACAAGCCGGCTAACAATTGAGCGGGAGAATTTTCTATCTCATATGTACTACTTTTAGTTATTAGAAGATAAACTTGCTAACAATTGAGCAAAAGAACTTTATCTCTCATATATATTTCTTTTAGGTATAAAATAATCCAGCTAACAATTGAGCAAAATAATTTCTCTCCCTCATATGTAGTGTTTTTTGGTATGAGGTAAGCCAGCTAACAATTGAGCTCGAGAACTTTCTCTCTCATATGTAAGAGTTTTAGATATAAAAAAAGATAAGCTTACTAATAATTGAGCTAGATCAGAAGATTTTTTCATTCATATGTAGTGTGTTTAGGTATTAGAAGATAAGATTGCTAACAATTGAGAAGGAGAATTGAGCGGGAGAATTTTATTGCTCATATGTAGTGTTTTTAGGTATTACATAGTAGAAGATAAGCTTGCTAACCATTGAGAGGAATAACTTTCTCCCTCATATGTAGTTCTGAGTATAAGATAAGAAGAATAAACAATTGAGCAAGATAACTTTCTCTCTCATATGTAGTATTTTTAGGCATAAGAAGCTAAGAAGATAAACTTGCTAGCAATTGAGTGAGAGAACTTTCACTCTTACGGGTAGTTCTTAAGTACTCCGTATATAAGATAATCCAGCTAACCGTTGAGCGTGAAAATTTACCCTTCCATATGTAGTGCTTTTAGGTATAACATAAGTCGACTAATAATTGAACGAGAAAACTTTCTCTCTCATATGTAGTCTATTTAGATATGACAAGATAAGCTTGCTTGCTAATAATTAAGTGAAAATTTTCTCTCTCATATATAGTGCTTTTAGTTATAAGAAGATAAAGTTGCTAACAATTGAGCGATGATATCATCATATATGTTGTTCTTTGTAGTATTAGATAAGTTTGCTAACAATTAAAGAACATATTTGTTTCTCTCACACATAGTGCTTTTAGGTATAAGGTAAGATAATAAGGCTAACAATTGAGTGAAAGATTTTTTTCTCATATGTAATTGTTTTAGATATAGCAAGATAAGCCAACTAAGAATTGAACAGAATAATTTTCTCTCACATATGTTAGCACGAATTTACTAATGAATGGAGTTATTATTTAACTAATATTCATTGATTTTAATATTTATTGTACTCACTTTTTTAGAATTATTATTTAATTTTAAAATTAATCTAATCATGGAAATGAATAAGCAGCAAATTCTAATGAGTAGTGTCAATTAATTTTTCCTAATATACTCTTCATTGAATATATATTTTAAAGTATTAGCTGATTGAATTACAATTTTTTTCGAAAATGTAGAATCCTAAAAAGTTGTTTCTACTTTAATATTTAATTAGATCATGAGTAAAAAATATATGCACCAACCGCTCTATCCCGTGCGTATGCACGGGTACTATACTAGTTGTTGTAAAACAATTCCCGTCCATTCCCATAATAACCCTCCTCACGCTTCACCCTCTCCCCTTCTTCACACTCACCCTCTTTATCTGGCTAGCTTCAATCTCCCAGCAACTTCATCGCAGCACCAAAGCAGGTTGTTCTCTTCCTCTCCTCCTCTTCTCGTTTATTCTTCTTCCCCTTCTCCTCCGTTGTTCTCTCTTCTGTATTTGCCTCAATCTTTTTATTTGTCAAGTGAGCAATTTTTAATATGTATTATCATTAATTAGATCTCCATGGCTTAGCCGGAACCGGTCTGCCGCTGCAGCTGGGTATTCTCTTGTTTCTGCAGGGTCTCAATTTGAATCCTTTGCCTGATTTTTACGAGCTCCCATTCAGCGCTGTCATCCTATTCTGCAGTTCACCATTCTCCCACATCCATCCTCAGGTATCTTTTTTCTTCCCAAGTGTAGATAGTCAAAATTGGAATCCGTAACACTATTGATATCTTGTTTTAACTTTATATTTGTATATGTGCCTATGAAAACACTCAAAAGGTCTTTTACTCTTTTTTCATATGCACAAATACATATGTGATGCATACAAACCGTTTGTTAATATGCTTGATCTAGACTAGATAATACATTTAAAACATTGACCCAACATCTTAATCAGAAAACATAGATTTTAATATGGTTCAACAATGTTTTAATTTAAAATATCTTTACTTCTACTAAAAATGAAATCCATAAAATTTGTTGGACCAATATGCATATTAATGTGGAACATATGTCTAGTGTCTACTTCAAACAAAAACATACAAATATTATATCCAAGCAAAAATGCGCATATAAAACTACTTAGAGCCAAGAAGTAAATACACCACCAAAGGGTAATTAAATTATTAGAAGTGTAGTATTAAAAAATTAAAAGAATATTATTATTTGTAGAAGGGAGATGTAGATTTAGGAGTTCTTGTTCGTAGATTTCAGATAGTGGTGAATCATAATGACGAGTTTCTTAATGCGGCGGTTGGAATACTTATTACTTGGGTTGCAATTGTGATTGCCACATATTGCAAGTTCATGGAGAATGAAATGTTCGTTGGTCATTCATATTTTGATGTGTTTTTAGGATTATTTCTTTGGATTTTTGTTTGATGTATGATAAATATATATACCTATTTTATATGTTTGAACTTGCAAGTATCTGTTTTTCAGAATTTTGTTAAATTCTCATTTGTATGACCAAAAGTCATGGTTTTATATTGGCTTTACTTTTTATACCAAAGTTCATGTGGTTGTGCATTAACAATATTCATGCAATTATATTTTACATATGAAAGGCATATATGTCATTAATGAGTTAGAGCACCTTCACCCAAACAACAATGTTAGGGACCTACATAGAATATAAATAAATAGAATAAGTTTGTAATAATTGTGGGGGGTTATTAGATAATGACTATAGCTAGTGGGCTGGAGGTCTATTCTTGAAGGAATAAGAGGGTCGGGGAGTAGTTGAGTTTGTTGTATAGTATAACTGCAGGTTGTTAGACTGCATTACTATAAATAGAAGGTAGAAACGAGTAATAGGCATGCTGAATTTGATTTGTAAACTGTACGCAGTCTGTTGCCTTAGGCCTTCGGCCATTGTTGCCTTTGAGAATAAAAGTTGCCTTTGAGATATTTCTTGAACCAATTCTGTGATCTGTAGACTAGAGTTGGAGTTTTCTAACATTGGTATCAGAGCCGGTGGATCGTTGTGAATGGTCTTGACGAGAAAAAAGATGGAAGCCAGGATGAATGAACTGGATGAAAAGGTGGAAAGATCGCGACAAGAAACAAGGGAGATGTTCGCGGCTCTTCAGGCATCGATCGCCAGATTGGAAACGCGTGGTGAAAATCGATCGCGAATACCTGAAGAACGATCGCAAATACCAGGAGACCGATCGCGAAGTAGGACGCACACTTCTCACACTTCGCATCGATCTTCTCATCGTCGTTCAATACCTTTATCGCGGCCTTCATCGCGACATTCATCGCGACCTTCATCGCGACACTCATCGCGACCTTCATCGCATCACCACTCGACGCGATCGATGGACAGTTCCGATAGCTCGGATAGTCACCAGGAGTACTCACCCCCTCGCCGACATCACCGACCTCGCCAAAACCATCAGACGCACAGGAAGGTTGATTTACCTCTATTCCAAGGTGAAGACGCGTTTGGCTGGCTTGTGAGGATCGAACGATACTTTCGCCTCAATAACATAGAAGAGGAAGAAAAAATCGAAATGGCAGTAGTTGCCATGGAAGGTAAAGCGCTGGGATGGATTCAATGGTGGGAAAAACAAACCAGAGAAAGGAATTGGGACAAACTCAAGAAAGCACTGATTAGGCGATTTCAACCAGAGCTCATTCAAAATCCATTGGGGCCTTTGTTGAGTCTGAAGCAAAGAAATTCTGTACAAGAGTACAGAGAACAGTTTGAAAAAGCTATTGCTTCTCAAGAAAATTTGGACAGAAAGGTAATGAGAGCTATATTTCTGAATGGGTTAAAGAAGGATATAAGAGCAGAACTGAAGCTTTATAAGACTAAGGATCTGGGGAAGATAATGGATAAGGCACAGGTGATTGAGGATAAGAATGAAGAAATACTGTCTAGAAGAAATAAAGAAGGAAAAAGACCATGGAAGAACACTGCAAATAAAGGAAACAGTTATCATAAATGGGAAGAAGGGATTAGAAGTAGCAGTAATCCAATTCTTACACATTCTGCTGGGAAGAATAGTAATGACAACAAAAATGTGGAGACTGGTGAAGGTTTCAGTTCAGGAAAAATAGGCCCCAGATTATCCCAACAAGAATTGATGGAAAGGAGTAAGAAAGGCTTATGCTTCAAGTGTGGAGAAATCTGGAATAGGGGGCACATTTGAAAGATGAAAAATTTTAGAATGGTTTTGATGGATTATTCTGAAGGAGAGATAGAAACTGAAGTGGAGGGTAGCAGTTCTGAAGAAGAGGGACCTCACCCTGAACTCAAATCAATGCAATTGTCTGTGCTCAACAATGAAGGTATACATTCTATGAGAACTTTTAAAGTAATGGGAAGACTAAGCTGGTCTACAGGAGAGAAAACAGTAAATAGTCTCATTGATTGTGGTGCTTCCAACAATTTCATTTCACAAAAATTGGTGGATAAGTATAAAATCCCTTACCATCAAATAAAAGGTTATAGGGTCCAGACTGGTAATGGGGAGTTCATTCCCAATAATGGCAGATGTATGGGGCTGAAACTAGATGTCCAAGGGAGTGTAATACAACAAGTTTTCTACATCCTGGAGTTAGGAGGGACAGAATTGGTGCTAGGCATGGAATGGTTATCTCAACTGGGAAATATGGCAATCAACTTCAAACACCAATCCATCATTTGGAAGCAAGGGAGTCAGATTTGTTCGATAAAAGGGGATATAGCTCAAAATGAAAAAGATGCTTTTAACACAATCAATGCGCAGATTCGGCAACCAACTGTGGATGGGTACCTACTGTATTATAAAGAGAATGAGCAGGGACAGAACATGGAACAAGAGACTATTGATCTTAATATCCAGACCAAGGAAGGAGCTGACTTTGTATCTTCATACACAAGCGGTGGTTCAGTTCCTCTGTTGCCCCACAATAGCAGGGAGGTTCGGGAAACGTCTGTGAATTGGCAAGACCGAGTAATGAAGTTTCTCTTTCAGAAATTTGTGAAATATTGGGAAGGCAGGAGCGCTAGGATGAAGAAGAAAAAGGAGATTTTGGCTGCTACCTATCGCCCACCTTGAGGGCAAGGTGGATGTTTAGGAGGGGAGAATTGTTAGGGACCTACATAGAATATAAATAAATAGAATAAGTTTGTAATAATTGTGGGGGGTTATTAGATAATGACTATAGCTAGTGGGCTGGAGGTCTATTCTTGAAGGAATAAGAGGGTCGGGGAGTAGTTGAGTTTGTTGTATAGTATAACTGCAGGTTGTTAGACTGCATTACTATAAATAGAAGGTAGAAACGAGTAATAGGCATGCTGAATTTGATTTGTAAACTGTACGCAGTCTGTTGCCTTAGGCCTTCGGCCATTGTTGCCTTTGAGAATAAAAGTTGCCTTTGAGATATTTCTTGAACCAATTCTGTGATCTGTAGACTAGAGTTGGAGTTTTCTAACAAACAATTTATTACATATTTACATTATCATAATAAGTTCACTTAAATTTTTGTCTCAGTACAATTCAATTCCCCTAACGTATTTAACTTAAATTTGTTCACTCGCAAAAAAGTCAGAATCCTAGAGAGGAAAAATGGCTGCCTGCTTACCATTATCATCATCTCTACCATGCGCACTCTCCTCTGAGTTTTGCAGCAAGGGAAATGTTGAGAAGCCACATTCTCTCTCATGGTCTTCTTCCTTCCCGCAGCTAAAAATCTCCACGCCTTTAGCTCCATACCATTGGAATTTCTCACCCAAACAGGTATTTTTCTTTTATCATATCTATTTTATTTTCTTTTAAGTACTTCTTAGAGTAATGGATCAAAATCATACTCAAGACTTGTTGAACCGTTAATTTATAATTTATTGCAATTTTCTTTCAGAACACATTGCGAACGATTATTAATACGTTGTTATGTTTAGTTGCCCCTTATTTCATAATCAATTACACCCAGAAGAGTGTTACTGGAAAGCATTTCAATGTAGATTGCATAAACATTTGTGCGAACGATTTCATTTTCAGTTTCAATCCAACATTCGACCTTCTAGGTTACAGTAGTTGGATGGCATTGTGATGTGAAGAACAAATAAAACTGTGGAAAAGCATGTATCATCTTAAAAAGAAGTAATTTTGGAACACTAGTAAGAGAAAGTCCACTCCCTTAGGGTCTATTTGGACTTCAGAAAATGATGGAGAAAGAAAACAAAGAGAAAACTAATAATGAAAGAAAACTAGTAGGAAAACAGAAAATAGATTCAAACTATAAATCAATTTTAGATATTTTTTGTTTAAAACCTCAAACACATTTTATTTATTTTCAACCTGACAAAGACTAAGAGACCAGTATACATACATGAATATATACTTCAAATTAAATGTCACATTTCATTTTTTTAAAGGATAAACCATTGACTAGAAAATTATAGCCCCTGTAGCATTATATATCTTTTGCCTAGCTGTTTCCAGGATCCAAGCATACCCTTGGTGATAAAAGCAGTTGTGGTACAGTGTAAATAAAGCTATTATTTTCCTTTTTGATAAGCATTTAGGAAATATAAAGCCAAACAATCTTCTTGCACTTAAAAGGTGTTTTCACTTTTATGGGCTCTTTTAGGCTTTGCAATCTAGCAGAATAGGTGCACAAGCATATGCAAAAACCAATCTTTTGGTTTCAATATCAGAGCATCCAATCTTATTTGGATGCTAAGAATGTGTAACACCACATAATATTTCCTATTGCTTCCTAATAATCAGAACTATTAGGTAAATACCTGGAATTGATTTATGTTTGTGTAAAAGCTTAAATATGTTTGAGGCCCGGCATATATATCATTTCTATTAGAATTCTGATAGAAAATATTATTTTTGATATTCATCCCTATAATCTACATTGATTCTTGTTACTCCCTCTCAGTTGGCCTCACTTCAATAAAATAAACTGACAGGGCTCGTCGAAGTGTCTTTCTAGAACTCTAACATGGCCTTTCCAGGTAGATCTTCTGTAATTTATAGGGCCTAGTGAACTCGTCATACGTCATTATCACTTTTTAATCTACAATTATTTGGCTCTCTTGAAATAAAACTTCTAAGTATTTTTATGATGTGGAAAAGCCAGACAAGATTTCTGTGAGCCTTGTCATTTTTTGGTGAGGTTGACATGGAGGGTTAAAATAAAACAATATGAATCACTGTGATGAATCACAAAATCAATTTTACTACTTCATACAACCTAAAACAAAAACAATATATTTAAGCCTTGTGTAAATTTGAATTGATTTAGTTGTTTGATATTTTAATATATGTGCCCTATGTCTGCTAGAGCTCAGTTGTAGCAGCTGCCTACACAAGGAGATCTCGGAGTGAAGCTGCAAAGAAACCTAATCGAAAATCATGGAAACAAAGGACAGATATGTATATGAGACCATTTTTGTTGAATGTTTTCTTCTCTAACCGGTTTATCCAGGCAAAAGTAATGCACCGACCAACCAGCAAGGTCATCTCAGTGGCTACAACAAATGCCAAGGACCTTAGGACTACACTGCCCTCACTTTCTGATGATAATGCAGCCAGGGTTATTGGAAAGTTGATTGCTGAGCGTTCAAAGGATGCTGATGTCTTTGCAATGTCCTATGAGCCTAAGAAGAATGAGAGGATACAAGGCAGGCTGGGGATAGTTCTTGATACCATTGCAGAAAATGGTATTATCTTTGTTTAGGATCCAACTTTAATGGCTTGTTTGGTTACCTCAGAAAGGGTTACTTTTCGGAAATAAAAAGATCGTGCTTCATCGCTTATTCACCTAAACTAACAGTCTTGCTTTCCAAACAAATGACTTCATTTTACCCAACAGTGATTCCATTTCCAGAGGTGTGGAATGGGGGAGGTTTGGATCATTGAACAAGTAAGTTTATTTATTTTATCAGAAAGTGGTTCCCAGGGAAATAACCAAACGTGCTCCAGGGTTTGGTTTCTTAGTCTCCATTTTTAAAAGAAAAAATGTTTCTTGTTATGAAACGAAGTGGTGAAAATGTAGAACTTCTTCACCACTCTGTATATGGGTTAAGTTTGTGGCTTTGTGCATATATAGGGAGATCTAACTTGTAAGATGTAAACAGAGTGTTAAGGTTCTTTTTCATTCTCTGAATGATGGTCCTATGAGAGACTTCTGTACTTGTTAGTTGAATCTCTGAAATGTTTGAAAGGTGAATCATTGGGTAAACATTCTATTAAGCCAATAAGCAAATTAACCTTTTTTGTTTATTATTCATATTTGTTACATTGTAATTTCGTTTATCATTAATTCATTAAATAGATTATAATAAGTATTGTAATGGTAATACTAATATCATTATTAAAGCAGACATTCTTCTAAATAAGAATTAACAGGTTCGTCCTTTTTTTCATCATTTTTGTTCATTCTAAAATGCTTGTCCAGTTGTCCTAAGCCAGATATTGTTACACTTTAGAGGATGTTTGGCAACGCTGTTTTTTTGGCTTATCAAGCTTATCAACCAACTTTTTCACCAAACACGTAATTTTTTCTTTCGCGTGCCGAATGGTATAATAAGTAGAAATAGTAAGGTCAGAGTTACTTTTTTGGTTGTATTGGGCCATTGGCTGAAGTTACTGTAGACGATCATTTTAACTATTTTTACATATAATTTTTTCTTTATTTTATTAATAAAATATATTTTAAAAATAATTTTTTCTCAAATCAGTATAATTAGCCAATGCAGTCATTTAGCCAGAACATCATAAATTTCAGTAGAATCAACTAAATCAGTCGATTATCGTGCTACCAAACGGGCTCTTAATCATTATGGCTCACACTCATTTGAATTAAATGTGAAGCAAATTAAATGTAGTACCATAGTAAATTAAATGTGAAGCAAATACCATAGTTTAATACGTGCGTGTTTATTCGGTAACTTGAACAAAAAAATGCGCTAAAAAATTCTGCAAAAAATATGTTGCTTTTTTAAAAACGTGTAAATACGTATACGTGTATAATATGGCATCTCTTAGAAAAATTTGGGTTGAAAATACGAGTCTTATTTTGAATGATTTAATTATTGTACTAGTTTTTAGGCATAAAAAACATATAGTTCATAAAGGATAATCAAAACCCACACACATTCAAATAGAATATCTCATTACTCCATTAAAAAATGCATTCATAATAGCATAAATTCATGACAAAAAAAGAAATAATGATCAAGTCCAAAATAACATTGAAATTATATACTTCATAAAATAACATATAATAAAATGAAATAAGAGTAAACACATATTGAAGTAGTAAATCACATTACTACATACTCCCTCCGTCCCTTAAAGGTTTGCCATGTTTGACCGGCACGTAGAATAATAAAGTAAAAACTGTGTGGTAGAGATTTGTGCAGAGGAGAGAGAAATAACATGAGCCACAAATTGATTGATTAAAATGGAAAGTGGCAAAGTTTTTGGGACAACCAAAAAAGGAAAGTTGGCAAAGTTATAAGGGACGGAGGGAGTAAAAGAATAATTCGTAATTGCATAAGTCGATGTCAAAAGTAAAAATAGTACTATAATTAAGTCCAACACATAATTTTGCGAAGTAATGTAAGAAAATAAGGCATAATAACGATAGAATGAGACCAAGTTAACATCATCATCATATTTATATGATCATCAACTAATACTCAAGTTAAACTCATCATTCTCACCTAGATGACGGATGACATATGAGAATGTTGTGCGACTGCTACACTTATTATTGTTTATGTGTAAAAGTTTATACTAAAAAATGTCAGGTTTAGAAAAACCTTAATTTTGATATGCTTCTTTGTAAAAGAACATCACAAATCTAATATGTAGTACTCCGTAGTATTTTAGGTTTTAGTCTTTTAGGATGCTAGCTTTAGTCATCATGCAATTAATTTTAGTATTTAACAATTGTATATTTTGTATTGTAATGATACAAAAACACGAAGTCATGGGGATGAGGTTTTCTTTTTTTGCTTTTAAACAATTGTTGATCTCCTATTCATTTGATGCATTCATTCAAGTGATCAAATCATATTTCTATTTTTTGTAAAATACGGGAAATATACATTTTATACGGGAAGTGGAAGTTTTTTTCCTTTTTAAACGGACCGATATTATTTTTTCGTTTTAAACGCATTTTTTGTTCAAAAAACCGTACGTATTGTAAATGCGTTTTAAACGAAAAAAAAAAACTAACTAGGTGTAGTACTCCGTATTACTATATTATATTTCCTAAAGTACATTTCGATTTTCATAAAGAACTTTTGTTCCTCATACAAACATAATTTATAGTACGTAGTACAGAGTACATAATGGTTATCCCACTAACGATTTCCTAAACGCCATTTTCCATGCATAACATTGGATATTGACTTTTTCCGATCCATCAGTCCATCACGACGGTTCTGTATATTTCCTCCCGATTCAGTAAATACAACCTTAACTGCTTCAAAAATTTCTTTCGCTGGCTTGTCAGCATCAATCTAAGACAAAAAATACTCCGTAGTTAATTAAATAGTGTTAATAATGGTAATAATTCTTTATTGTTATAACAGTCGAATTTTATCTTCACAAAGATGAACTTGTGTATCAAATTCCAATATTTTGAAAATTGCCCTAAATAAGAGTAAATAGATTTTGAAATTCCAAATACTACAAAGTTTTTATTTCCGATTATGACATGATTGAAAAATATTGTTTAATGCCGGTAAATATTGGCATATTAATACATACTATCGCAACTATTTTGACAATGATCAGGGACGGATCCAGGATTTTGAGTCAAGGGGGACGAATTTTTTCGTTAGCCTAGGGGTGAAAAATTTTCCGCAAGTGTGTTGGGGCGAATATTTTTCACTAGTGTAGTGGAACGAAATTTTTCCCTACTGCTGCTATTTTTTATTCAACTTTTTTTTATTAATATATACACGACAACATTCAAATCTATTACTTTCTATATTTAGACAATGGAAAAATAACTTTGATTTTATTATTGAAATGTTCTAGAAGAAAGTATTGATGCATTAAAGCGTATGAAATGACAATTCAAAGGAAAATTATTTGAAAATAGAAAAAGATATATAATATTTTATCAAATTATTTGAATATAAAAAGTTTAAAGTGTATACATCCACCAATACTTTTTAAATAACTTCTTCTTTGTTTAATCGCATGAATCTTTTCGGAATAAATGATTGATTTTTGAGCTGCAATTTTTGTCTACCCAAGAGGGTGCTTATGAGTAAAGAGAAGTTTTCTTAATATTACAATAATATGTATGAGATTATTATTTTTAGAATAATATTATATTCTAGATTCATATATATGGTGCATATTATATTTGTATTAATGCTAAAATAATTTAAGTTTATTAGTTATGCAATAAACTGTTTTTAGAAAGTAAGAAGTAAATCAATTGTGTAATTTAATGTTAAATGTTATCAACAAAAATTTATATTTTTGATTCAATTCACATGATTTAAAAATTGTTTAACTATTTGTTCGATAATTAAACATTACAAAACTAGGATTTTTTATATAATAAGTATCATAAGTCTGGAACAATGAGTTGTTCTATTCTTTATTTGTTTAAGTTATGTAATTAAATTATTCTAGATGCTATATAAAATTTTGAAAACTAAAAGTTAAAGGGGGCGAACACATATATATCTAATTAAAGCATAAAAAATTGATGAAAATATTACATATATATTAGAAAATTTTGAAAGTTCAAGGGGGGCGGTCGCCCCCCGTGCCCCCCCCCCCCCCCCCCTAAATCCATCCCTGACAATGATGACTCTAATATGGCAGTAAATACTATCATGTTACTCCTAGTTCAAAAAGCTAAGAAAAATATAATACTCTTATTTTGGAATATCAAAACTTGTTTATTTCCATTTTGGGAACTTTCTCATCTTTTTTATTATTAGTGTAAATTATTCGTGTAATAATTTGTGTATAAAAACTTTGTACCGACCTACTACCTCCGGTTTTTTTTAATCTTCACAGTTTGACTTCACACAAAATAAGGAAAGAAATTTGACTTTACTGTAGAGTACACTGTAGAGGCACTGTTTGACACTGTTGAGACACTGTTTGACACTGTTTGGCACTGTTTGACACTGTTTTGATATAGATTTCTTTGCCAAAAAAGGAAATAAGGAAGTGTCAAGTTTATTTTAGACCGTCCCAAAAAGGAAAGTGTGAAATTTATTAAAAACTGGAGGGAGTATTTCAGTATATGTACGTCTCACTACACTAATGACAAGTGACAATATGGTTACGATGGCAGTAACAATAATAATGTTATTTTGTACATCACCTTTTACTTTATCTTCACACAAAGATAGGGGCGGATCCAGGATTTCATGTTGGGCTGGGCTGAAAAATTTAATTGATAATACATTGATTTTTTTTTCAAAATAAGCGAAAAATCAAATATAAAAGTTATCCCCTAAATTTGTTCTAGACAAGGCTTTGAAAAAAAAACTCATCAACAATATGGTCTACATCTATACTGAGAGTTATATCTTTTTCAATGTAAAGTGTCATGCAATCAGCAAGAAAATCATCATCCATTTTGTTGCAGAGTGTTGCCTTTAGAAGTTTCACGACAAAAAAGATCATTCTATCTATTGTTGTAGTAGAAACAATAAGATCAATACGAAGTGAATCAATCTAGTCATCTTAACATATGAATCAGACCTTTTGCTTTTAGTTAACTCCTCACATAATTCAACAAGTGTAAATACTTGAAACTTTGTATCATGAATCACATCATGAACATAGTGTTGCAGCTCGAATTTCAAAGCAGGAATGTCCTGATTACTAAAATTTTCGGGATAAAACTTCCTTACAAGAGTACAAATAGCATCGGCATTGAACGACTCGTATGAATTTTTTGCATCAAATGAAACACTCAAAGAAAGGAGTTACGTTCCACTGATTTATCATTAAACCGGGTCGTTGACTCCATGAATAAAAGTATATTACCTCATTGAAAACATCAAAGTGATAATGATTCTCAATTGTAGTTTCTTTTCAGCAATGACCAACCATATATTTAGAAATTAGAATTCAAGTCTGGTGCATGAATTTATATTTTGAGAAAAACTCATTTACTTCTTCAAGAAAACATTTCCATCTATTTTCTGTAAATTCCTTAAGAATGAGTTGTGTAGTAGAAAGATGTTTCATGGCTACCGAGATATTCAATAATTTTTTTTGAATGATTTGAGAGAGAATAGTCGTTAATCCCATATCTTTGTGCATCAAATTAAA